CCATCTCTCCTGCCCCTCCCCCATCGCCTCTGCCCCTCCCCCAGCTCTCAGGCCCTCTGGTCCCAGGTTTAGCTCATCACACCTCACACAATTGCTCTGAGGCCTCCAGGGCTCCCCTCTCCGGAGCTGTCTATCCACTCTGGCTGGTGCCTATAAATAGAGCTTTCCAAAAGCTTGGCCCTGAGCAGTGGCCAGTGTCAACAGTGATGGTCGCCCTCACCCTGTCCATGGGCTTCCTAGATGCTGGCCCAAGCCATTGAGGCATGGCTCCCACAGCATCCCTGTGAGACAGGCTCTTTGGTTACCTGTGTGTCCCAGTGAGGAAATGCGCAGACAGAGGAGTTACCCTGCGTGCCAAGGTGATGCAGTCACTACTGGGGTTCCAAGGGGACCCTCCAGCTTCAGGGTCTGCCCCCTGGCCTCCCCGACCTCAGGCATAGCATGTCCCAGGGCTGGCCTGTGCCCCTACAGGCTGGAGCTCCCCAGGGTCTGCCCTGCCCTCTGGGCGACCTCCTGGGCTGCCAGCCCCAGCGCACAGCCTGCCCCGGACCAGCCCACAGACTCGCTGGGAGCCTGCTCTGGTTTGTGGCCTATTTCTGCCGGCAAGCCCTCTCTTACCCTTTCCTCCCTCTCAGCCGCCACCCCCAGTGCAAACCCTGGGTTCCTCTCACACCCTTAGGCCCCTTCCCCGAGCCAGCTCTGCACCAGGAACCAGAAGATTCTCTAAGGTGAAGAGTTGCACTGAACCAGGAGCTGGGGAACAGGCCCGGCCGACGGCTGACTGCGCACAGGGGGGTGAGGAGGGCCAACCCCGACCCCCGCCTCTCCTGCACCGCTCCCCACATGCAGCAGAGCACTCGGCCACACGAGGTTCAGAATCTGCGAAGCCCCCGCTCACAGAGAAGGGACGGTGGGCGTGGGGGATGAGCCCTGGTGACTCCCAGCGGGGTCCCTTGTCTGTCCCTGATCTGTGCTGTCCCAGGACAGAAGGTACCTTGCTCAGCGACCTTCTCCTGGTGGTAGAGGCCATCCATGCTCCAGGTCCCTCTGAAGTCTCCTCTGACCATCTCAGCACCTCTGGGAAGCAGGGGTTCCCTCATTTGGCAGCATAGGAAGGTGAGGTATGGACGGGGTTTGTCTGGCTGAAGAGGCGAGATTGTCTTGTCCCGTCCCCGTGGCACTCCCCATGCCTTTCGGGATGGGGATGCTTCCTCAAGCCTCTGCCTTTAGGCTCATCTCTCGGGACTTGTGAAATCTGGGTGCTCCTGAGAATGTTAGGCTGAAGTCAGAGGAGAGAGGGTGATCTGGCCCAATCTGTGAAGGCTTCCTGGAGGAAGGGGCACCCAGGAATGCAGCCCTGGGGACTATGGACATCCACTCATAGCCATGCACAGGGAATCACCTGGGAGTCTGCTTAAGTTCCAGACTCTGGCACCCCACCCTCAGAGGGTACTCAGCCTGGGCCGAGGCCCCCATCTCCATCTGCTGACAGCCATCCCCAGGCAACCCTGATTCAGGAGGCCTCGGACTTTTAGAGCTGATTTGGCCCAAGCACTTGGGCAGAAGATCTGGCCAGGCCCCCACCCAACCTGGCATCCTGGCCTGGGCCGGGTGCTGGCGTCGCCCGGTGGATGAGGCTGAACAGGGAGAGAGGCCTGGGCTCTCGGCAGGAGCCTGCAGCTGCTCACAGCCAGGTCAGCTCTGCATCCCTTCCCTGCACCTGGGCCAGCTCACGCAGTTGAGAAGGTGGGCCTTAATGGCCATTCCCACGGGTGAGCCCAGCCAGAGAGCCCAGCAGGCCCATCCCTCCTGGCGCTCAAGGCCAGACTGGGGTTAGCACGGTGCTTGGGGCCCCAGTGGACCCAGAGGGGCGTCGCATGCACACGTTCACACACATCTGTCCAACCTTGTTTGGCTTTCCCCGCAGACTTGCAAGATTAATCGGGCCTAACTCATTACTTTGCACAGCCCTCCCTCCCCACCTGCGCCCGGCTGGCAAGCACTCATTGCAGGAAGCTAGTCATCATCTAGTCCTGTCGTAGGAGCTGAATTAGTGCTTTACTCCAGGCCGCCAGGCCCCTCCCTCCCGCTGCTCCTGAAACTGCTGTTTCAGAGGAAAGGAAAACCCCCAGTTCGTACACGAATGAAAACGACTTTGGAGAACAGGTGCCTCCGTGTCCCCGCGTCCTGGAGCCTTTGTGGCAGGAATGGTGCCCTCTGAGCTGATCCTGGGGGGGGG